GTGCTCCATCAATAGCATTGCCACATTTTCCAAAGTAAGACTGGGAATGCCTTTGTTGTCAAGCTTGCGTACTCTACATATCGAGCGAGCTTTTCTGGCACTGGAGAGCTGTTTTCAAAACGGAAGGTACACTGGAAACGCGACGACTGCAGCTCAGGAGAAAACACCTCCAGATAAGAAGGCAGAAAGGGGTAGTGTTGCTTCTTCAGGCCCTTTTGCAGGACAACGGTTCATTGCAGCGCACGTACTAAATATGCTTTACTTTGCAAGGTTGGGTAACCAGAGGGCACACAAGTGCTAGCTTTTGTTAGTCGACTCACCCCCGGCGAACAGAAACTCATATGGAGAGCTACTGGTGCTGCCACCTTGGATTTTTGGGAAGAGCAAAACAACTCCTTAGTTCTGACTGGTGTTGATGCATCACAGACCGCTTCCTATGCAAGCGTTCATATTGACGGATGCCGAGTGCCTCGTTCGAGCCATGAAAACCAAACTCTTACTGCTAGAAGTAGTAGCTGTTTCATAGTTTCTCTAAACGTTTATGTAAAGAAGAACTATCGGAATTCCTCAGTGTACTTGAGGCTCTCGCAAACCTGGCCTGCACGTGCTCAGCTACGTTAGTTTTTAAATCAAATTCCTGACTAGGGTAACGAGGACAACTTGAATTTGGATGCGGGATAATGATACACCTGCATTGTTAATCTGACCAAAGCGTTCCTTTCACTACCTTAAGTGCTTTGGCAGATTTCACGGAACTGCGTTCGATAGAATTTTCTTCATGCGCCGACGAAGGCGTATACGTGGAACTTTCTGGGGTAAACAGTCAAAGCTCTGTAGATTCTGTCGCCTGATTCTTTTGTGAGGCAACATGACCCTATCGCTTGGGGAGCTCCTGAAGCATTAGTGTCAGGTTCGCCAGATCGACGGTGGCAGTAAATGAGTATCCTGTGGGTAGGACTGCTGCATTTACATGGGTGAAATCGTTACCCTGCACGCGTGCCGCTATTGGTTCGACCCAAACTAGCCTCTTGGGTTTACAAGCACGATGCTGCTCTGCAGTGAGTATTGGCTTGGAATGAAATAACACGGCACCGTCTCTGCTGTAGGTTGTTTGCGTGATTTCCGCAGGAGGCCTTGGGACTCCCATCTCGAAATACAACATTGTGGAACTTTAAGGTATTCGTGCACGCGCGCCTGCGTAAGTCCAAAAAATAATGAGTTATAAAGTCAAATTATGGTTTGTTTAGGGCTTTCTACAGCATTTGGAGGCTTCCTGTTTTGAGGATTCAACGAACAGTAACGTCAGCTGCTAGCACATGCGACGAACGTGCCATATGAAGAAAAGCATTTTTCATGATTTCTTTACATTGGTATTGTGGTACAGAACTTTCATTCCTATATTTCAGAGTTAACAGAAGAGTGCTTGCATTTTAGTAGAATTTGTGAGCTGGTTGCACGGACGTGGCATTTTTATATTGCAGCGAGATTTCCACAGGGCTTCTGACATAGTATCCCGTTTGTGCAGGTCGAGCAGAGGTAACTCTCGTCCGCTTCTTGATCTAAACAGCAGAAACATTACTGGGGGGGGGGTTTGGTCCGTCTATCGCACCTCGATGTACTGTTTGGTTTGAAGCTGGTTCCAGCCCCCGAATCGTACTTGCCATCACTTTGTCAATATCCGAATAGCCTCGCATGAAAGACTGACAAATCAGTGCGGTTAAGCAGGAGGACTTCAGTTTGTCTTTACGAATTGGTTTTCTCGAGCATTCCCGATAGTTAAAGTCTCGTAGTTGGTTTGAGCTGCGCTGGAGATTCGGGAATACTTCTCCAGGAAGCCTTTTCGAAGATCGCTTGATTTGCGGCACTGTTGATATAGCAAACTACAACCATTACTAATGTGCAACTCAGGGGCACCCCCCGGGTTTACCTTTTTCAGCGTCGATATTGATATCATGCTCAGAGTGCACTTTAAGATAGCCTCAGCACACGCAGCCTTATGCAAGTCCTCAATAACAGATCATGGGCTTGCGAAACCTGCGCCTTCGGGAGTTCGCATATAAAACTTGAATTGTAGTTAGTAGATTTGAATGCGTTGGCAACGGCTTATGCTCGTATTCTCCTGGAACGCAGCCTATTCAGGAGCGCAGTCTCTTCAGCGTGAAGCTGGGGGGGGAAGCGATAATTTTCTGCTTCTCCAGATGTCACTTCATTAGGGAAGGCGGAGGACAGGGACAGGGGCCCACACAGATAGAGCAGCATGTTTATTTCTGGAAGCTGTACATCTGTTGTTCCAGTTCTTCAGTGTTAAGTGCGCGCTCATTTCCATTTGTAGCGATGACTGCAGTCCGTAGTTTTCTGTATACTACAACTGCTACTTGCAGTAGAGTTTCTTCGCAGGCGCTCCAAAACATATTTCAAAAGAGTGTGGCTGCCTAGCTCAGTAGCACGCCTACTTCTCGGAACACAGAAACCAGTACTTACATCGGCTCATCTTTGGGCTCAAGATGCACACGGTAGGCTGCAAGCTCGCGTATTGTCTGGCTGTTCAGTGATATCTGGTTTTTGAGATCTCTAATTGTGGCTTCAGCTTCAATCATCCTCTGCTCTAAATCGTGCATGTCAGCTTCTGCGAGCTGCTGCAGTTCCTGTGTTAAATATGTTCCCGCGTCCATACGAATGGTTTCTCGCCCGCTTCCAAAACTGTGCTGTTTGCTGATGGTAGATAAATCGAGACGGTAGTGTTGTTGGGCATCGAAACAGGTGTCTGAGCACGCGCAACAGTGAGTGTCTGCTTGATTCCATGCTTCGTTGTTCCCCGATAATGCGGCAGGAAGAGACAAAACAAAACACGGGAGTAGTTTTCAGGCAGCGGAAAGGCGTACTACGCTTTACTAGGCTTCAGACAAGTGTCCTGAGCTGCCTAGAGTAGTGGCTTCGGTAAGCGATCCTCTTGGATGAGCACACCAGCGGAAATGCCTGGTGCGGAAAACGTACCAAAAGTGCAAACGAATTCTTTTGTTTTTTTGAGCAAAAAGAAAGCTTCTTCAGCTTGGCAGGGGTGCGCTGAAGAACAGTCTTGAGACAACGTTGAGTTGCTTCTCTTCGGAATGCGGGCTTCTCCAGAGTCCAGTTGCTCACCTTCTGGGTGAGGCACCACAGAACTTATCATTGCAAACTACTCCTTTTCTGCTTTATTACACCTTTTGTGATTAGTGCTCAGGGCGGCTCTCGCTTTTTCGTGAGCGTCAGCACTCTTGGCACTCCCACAATATGCGCCGACCAGCACATCCACGACCTCCGAAAGCTCTACTTGCTTGGCGCCCAACAGCTTTTGCAGCGTCGTTGTTAGATGTGTAATAGGGACGAGGTTATGCAAAATGATGATGATAAGAATGGAAGAGTTGCACCTGGAACCCACTGCTCGAGCTGCTCAGGTGACCTCAGGGCTTGACGGATGCTTGCTGTCGCTCGGCGGTCAAGGTGTCCAGGTTCCTCTAAAGGAGTGAAATTAATGCGTCGATATTGTTTCAAACTGAATCTTATAGACATGCATCACGAAGCCTCGCTTGAACTTCTCCTGTGCACGGGTCCTCTAGAAAGCTCTTACGAGGCCAGGCCACTGGAGTAACGCCAATAGCGGCGCCCATCCAGTAGAGCAGCTTTCCTACATCTACTCTTTATCTGTGGCCTTACTGCCAGTATGTTGAGGAATCAGAAGCGTTGACATATCACGGTGAATTAACTTAACTCGACGCACAGGTTGATTGCGTGTGCGCCGATGTGGAGCTTTAAGCACCATACGCAGTATTCAGTCTGCTTACTGTAACTTCAAAATGTTTCTTATTATGTAGAACAAACAACAAGGTACACTGACTAGCGACAAACTTTCTCTGCCCACAGTGGTGCCGAGAACACTACAGTCCGAACCCAATGACCACGACAGGTGACTCCAGTAACTTCTTCCTCTAGCACGATGACCACAGATAAAAGAGCGGTTAGAGACTTTCCAAAAAACTCAGCTCAAACGGCTTCATGTCCTCGCTGGCTTTGGCGCTCGCTCTTGATGTGGATACCACAACCAGTTTTGCTGGAGGCGATCACCGCAAATTGCTGCTGCATGCAGCATTTTGGGACCCGCAGAGCACTGTGTGACTGCGACCGCTGGCCATTATGCTTTAACACAGAGAAGAAACCCAGTTCCGCCTGGAATAGTCGACGGCAGGCTGAGGAGGGTCAACTAGTCCATTACACGATTTTTGAAGCTTCACCTGCCGATATATTTCCAAGTGCAGCTATTGAGCGTTCCAAAGAGGCGGCAGAAGTTCCACCGAAGGCCCCAACACCGGAACTTTCCCTGTGTACTGGCAGAACGCGCAGCCGGGATGCTTCTCCAGGACAATTTGGAGTTTCAGCTCACCAAAAATCCCCTCGTGCGCGTCCTGGAGCATTCGCACCTTCACAGTATACTACACAGATGAATGTGCCGCAAAAGGCGCTTCTTTATGAGGAAACGCTACAGAAAAGCCCACGCCTACCTCCACCCTGCGGCGTATGTGAAGAGCAAAAGGAAATGGAGGAAAAATGGACAGTATCCCCACCTTCCATCGGACTTGCCAGCCTGTTCCATTCTGTGAACACGACCACGGACAAAGCAGTGTCGCCACGTCTTTATCGTGGGCATATTTCTTCTATGGTATGCGGTAACCCACTGGTTAGCTGGAGGTGCACTAATAATCTGCTTAATATGCCTCTCAATAAGCTGCAGACTGCGCCCGTCGTATAAACTTGGAATAGGTCAAGTGAAGCAAATCTGCATTCCCTGCGAGATTGTAGGAACCCTTTGCACAAAAGACTACGTTCCTAGTATGGGGATTTCCCAGGAGGCATGCAAAGGTTCTTTTGCATGGCGTTGGGCGTTTGGGCAGGTAAGGGAGCCTGCGCGCACTTCTTCCTGTACAGGCCGAAGCTCAAGCTCCCCAAAGAATCTGTCCGTACAGCTGATGGAAGGAGTACAGGGAACGCAGGAGCTCCCGAATGGTAGAGATGCAAGGGCCTGTACTGACTGCTACCCTGTAGCATCTTTGGTAGGAGTCAGTGAAGCGACTGAATGCAATGGCGCTAGCCAAGAGAGCCACCATTTGCCGGAGAAAGGACTTTCCAACTGTGGTGGTGCCTTGCAGCTCACCAGGCATCCTGTTGCTCCTGCAGCTGAACAACCAGGAGACCTTTCCCCGCAGTCGGTCGTGCAGAAGAAAGAGCCGCGGACGATGGATAGTTACTCTCTTGGTGAGGTCGAGAAGTCAGTTCTTCTCTCGGGCCGTAGCGATGGGTTGCACGCTTGCCCACCACCTTCGCCGCCGACATTTGCTGCTGCACCATCAAACCAGCAGGAGTCCCGAGAAACTTCACGCGTTTCAGACTCAGAGCCACAGTGTGATCAAAACCAGCAGCAACAACAAGGGCTGCAGGGGCCCGTGCAGAGCAGCGAGGGGAGCAGTGTTGGCGACGCACAAGAGCAACAGATTATCGAAAATTTACCTACGAAGTCTCTCCCGACGTTCACTAAGGAGGAACTTCTCCATGAAGACGCCAATGACTTCAATCTGGAGAGTAGCGTAGTGGAGGAGAAAATCCTGCAAGGAGTGGGCAATGCCAAAAAGGGTAATATCATCCCAAGCCTCGCAGACAGTCTACACGAAGAAATCACGCATTGTGAAACGGTTGCAGTTCCAGCTGAAGACAGGTTAGCGGCCCCTACGCAAGCTTCAACTCGAGGAGCAAGAAGTGCTGTCTCACGTCATCCGTCTCAGAAAGCTGCACCGATCGGAGATGCGTCCAGAGGTACGCCGCCCTGAGGCCCCGCGTAAGAGGTAAGCAGAGCAGGCGGCACGATCCACTTGCTGTCCTGCTAAAGAACTTGACCGCCCTGAATACTGAGCCCCTCATGAATTCCCGTGATTTCCTCCCGCTCAGCACCAAGGCTTTGTCGAAAACATGGTCTTGGCTGGCTGCAGTAGCGGCGATAAGTCAGATTAACAAATCAAAGGGTATCCACGTCGCCCCAGTCGAGACGAGGCTTCACATATGTGGCACCTCAGGCATACTCAAAGCGCGCTCTCCAGATGGTCTCCAGCCTCGTCGACGAGCGAGGAGTGATGTGTACCAGGCTTATGCTGGAGACAAGGGTATTTTCAACACCCATAACAGGACTACAACATCCGTGAGACAGAGATTTGTTTTTGCGCCAACGCGTGTCTCGCCAAGGAAATCTAAGTCCCGGAAGTCCCCTCAGCGGCACCTTGAGTTCCTGATCACCAGAAGTACCCCAGAGAACAATGTTATAAGCTGTTCAGTTCCTTCTTTTACCGCCTCTTGTACTCAAGAAGAAGAGCTGGAAGTTCCTCCCCCTGAACTCACACAAATCAGACCGCAAGCTGAAGTGGAGTGCCGAGTGGTGCCCCCGAAAATGCCTGTAGTTCAGACTGCTACGATGCATGACCACGCGAAGGAGCCACTGACCAATCAGGACGTAGTTCCCGTGCTACTGACAGCTGATTCTGGTATCGTGCTTGAGAAAAATATAGGTAATCTGGCAGAAAATGCCAGCAGCGAACAAAAAACCAGTGGAACATCCAAAATCAAGTCAGTAGCGGGAAGCAATACTGCCATAGATATGGTGGAGTTGGAGAGTGACCATAGGCCGTGCTTTCCTGCCCATGATGAAGAAACATCAATTCTTGAGAATCGCAGTGACGAATACTCCATACCTGGTAACCTCAGCGTACAGCTGCCTCGGATACCGAGCCTTAGCATCACGAAGAAGCAACTGCTTCTTGCCGACGAGGCACAAAACGTGGTTTTGGAGCGAGACGCTCAGACAGGAGAACAGCCTGGAAGCGCTTCCCACCAAGTGGACGGTGGTGATCGGGGGGACAGTGAACGAACGGACACAAGCGCAATACTGTCTAAGGACGAGAATAGCCAAAGAAAATCGGCAGATGATAGCCTCTCTTCACGCAGGCAACAGCATGGCCAGCAGCTCAACAGTGGAAAATATATTGGCGAGCCTCGGACCTTCATAGGGTCTGCGATAGATTGCGATGGCCTGCCTGAGCTCGGAGAGAGCTCCATAGTTCCCTCCCAACCGGAGAGAATTTTGGAGGATTGTAGTCTCATAGGAAAGCTGACTGTAGAAGAGACCTCACATTATAGGGCTAGAGACGCTGATGATCACAGCGTTTTGTCCACAGATGACGGGGGTCGACATTTGGTACCGCAGGGAACTGACTTTGGCCTCTGTGCCGGCAAGAAACTATACTGGAGAACTACTTCCTGTGTGGATCCGAAGATCCACACCGTTGAACGGCTACCACTCCGCAAATCCTCACTGCAGAAAGCATCGAAGCATGTTTTCAGAACGCTCTCATGCGTTTTGGGACATGCAAATATTGCTGCTCCGCCATCAGTAACATCGCGAGAAGTGGCAGCCACCAAAACTGCGCTCTCAGCCCTTGCAGAGGTGGCTTACCCTAAGTCAGAAGCCACACTACATGCATCAGTGGCAGTGGAAGAGAACGAAAGACAAAGCAGTGCTGTAGCTTCATCAGGGAAACAATCACATCATCTTGGGCTTGCGCTTGGGGACGAAGCTGGCAGGCATGTAGGTGACACTACTGCCTTCCGCGAATCCGTGCGAAATGATGCAGCGGCTCACGTTATTGGCAAAACCGAAGCCCTATCAACTGACGTTTCGCCACAGCTTTCACGCCTGTGTCAGGAAGCATACTTGAAGGAAAATATCTGTGGAGACAGCACGCTTGGCCATGCCGTACGCAGCAGTGGTAGACGCAGCTTCGGCCACCATAGTAGATCGTTCTCGCTCAACAGAGCACCAGGCCTTTCCCACCTTGTGCTGAGTCCACAGGACGATTCGTCGCGCTCAATTCAAGTTGATTGGCCTCTGACAAGTCGCTCGTTTCCAGCCATAGTTCCATATGTCTCCCCAAGGCATGCTGCGGGGTCTCAAAACGCTTCTTTAGGTCTCCGAGTAGCCTCGAGCTCCCGCATATCCAGAGCGAGGTGCCACGGTGGGGCTATAACTCTTTTCAAGAATTTTGACGCTGAGGGTAGTGGTGTGGAAGCTTTTAAAATTAGAGAGGGGCATGCTAAGCGAGTCAGTGATGCCGAAGAGCGGATGCCATGCAGCATTGCCGAAGAGGCTATGCGGCAGTTTGCACTACAGCAGGCAGGGGCTTCTGGAACCGGGCCTTCTGATCTTGTCCTACCTCGCGTAACAACCAACAACGAGGCATCTTGTAATTACATAACAGAAGTGTCCACAGAAACAGCAGGAGCCTCTGAACGTTTCCATCTTTACAACGGAAGCTTTCGAACTCTGCAGCAGATCGTGCACTTGCACTTCGCTGCAAAGCAGCAGAATAGCGCCACCTACATACCATCCCCTGTGGACTGCCCGGCTGTCGGAACAGAGAGGACCGTGTTCATGGAATGCTCGCCTGAAGAGCAGAATCCTGCTCACACCATCCAGGTTCAGCAAGACATTGGTATTCCCAAACTGCAGCATAATCAAGGTGACGGAGCATACAAAAGAGACAGAGGCGACTACTGTCCTGCTACTGACATGTCTGCGCATTGTTTCCAGCATGAAAGCGAAGAGCCCCACTTACAGGAATCGTTGCACGTTCCTGGTCGCAGCATCCCCCGTGTCCCCAGGAAGCAGGGGAGGCAAGCAACTGGAAGCCAGAACGCATCTGCCAGTGGATACTGCTGCAGCACGCTACATCAGTACAGAGGACGGGACCGTGCTTACCATCCATGCCCTGGCAGCCTATTGTGGAATGGTCCGCTGCGGCAGTTCCAGCTGCAGCATCATAAGCGCGGGATGTTGCTACTCCCGAGCTGCTTTTCTGAAGCTTTGTACTTGAAGCAGAATGCTCTACGGGGCAGATTACAAAGGCAGTGCAAGCACGCGGAGTTGCTGCAGCAGCAGCTTACTATGCAGCAAAAGCAGCTCCAAATAACAATGCAGCTTCAGCAGGCACAACTACAGCATCAGCGGAATCAGGCAGCCTTGTGGAGAAGCTGTATCAGTAGTGCGAACATGCTGAGAAGATCACATTTGGGACGGAGCTTGAAAGCAGGTTGCATACGACGCCGAGGAAGAAGTTTAGGCCGTAGTAGACAAAAAATTTCAGGGCTTATCGAAGCAGCAGCAGCAGCAGCCGCTGCAGCTGTCGCCGCTGTTGGCGCATGCGAACAGAGAGTACAGGCCCTATTTTCTAGCCCTCAAAATGTCGCGCCACCTCCACGTGAGCCTGTAGAAAGCAGTAGAGAGAGTGGGCAAAGTGCACTTCTCGCGGCGAAAAAGAATAAGGTATCTGATGTGCAGCACCAGCTATTGGCAGATCATACGTTGCTTGGAGAACAGATACAGCAAGAAAGCCATAGAATAACACAGGGGAGACTCGTTGATGGCGAAACTTTTGGGGCTCCCCCAGGCGATTCGTCTTGCGTTGCTTGGGCGTCGAACAAGCTAAATGAGGAGAAACTCCAAAACACTTTGTCGCCTATTCGTGAAGCAGCCGCCGCATCTACCCCGCCGCCATGTGACACAGGAGCGGATGAACGAAGTAAAACAAAATATTGTCCGATGCTGGGTCCTATATCGCACCAAACACCTGCAGTAGAAGATGCAATTATTCCATCTATGCCAAGCCCACATATCCCAAGAGTCGAGTTTGAGTGTGCATACGTAAGACCTATTGCAGAACTGGAGCCTCTGCTTCCATCACCAGTAATGAAAGCGCCTGCAGAAGCTACCACTGATGCAATTAGACGAAACCATCCAAGCCCACATATCCCAAGAATTGAATCTGAAAGTGCATACATAAGACCTATTGCAGGGCTGGAGCCTGCGTTTCCATCACCAGTACTGCAAGTGCATGCAGGAGTCAGCATTGCAGACGGAGAATCATATCACCAGCAAGTCTTGGCTTCGGCATGTAGACTGACAAACGCACGTAGAATTGCTGCAACTGGACTTCAATTTAATGGAGGCAACTCCCCCTGTTGGAAAGGCATGCATACGGATATCATGATTCGACCAGCACGTTGTCCAGCAGGTAATGCTATTCTTCCCAGCTCTAGTGGTATTGGCGAGACCAACACTGTAAGTAAAAGTCACCGACGATCTCGCACAGACACTTCATCTCTCGGTCGAAAAGTTGAATCTAGGAGCAGCAGTACACCAGTACAAGACAAAAGAAGTAGAACCAGGAAACAATTTTACCCGGTAGCTTCTTGCCACGAAGGAACAAATTTGCCTTTATTGGAAGGCGTGCAAGGTACGCCAGGAAGGTATGGCTGCAAAGCAGTACCCGTGGCGTATCAGCGGGATCCAAGCATGTCAATCTTCAACCAACTGTTTACAGATAGTGTACGTAGGCAGAAAAATCTCATTCTTCTCCGTACACAGAAACTTTTGGAGGATAACATTTATTTCCGGCTAGGAAAAACATATACAGGGCAGGACAGGAAGAAGACTAAATCTAGGAAGACCCCGCAAGTTTCAGCGGGACGGTTTCCTTCTCCATGCAGCCTGGATAAAGCCACGAATACGGACAAAACGTGTGGGGTTCTCTTGAAGCATGACGTGAACATCTGCTGTGATTCTCACGTTTCATCACAAGACACACAGCTTTCATCATATGCAGAACGTGCCGGCGTAGCAAGCAAGATATGGACAAAACGCTGCCTCAGCTCTCTTAGTAATGGGGGAAAAAGTAATGCAAGTAGCAGACATGAGCAATCGGTGCCTACCATCGACGCAAATAAACATCAAGCCTGTCTGTATCACAGCCGTATGCTTGTCTTCCACACGAATGTACCAGAAGCACCGCAAACGGAAGGCAGCAAGCGACGAACGCAGTCTGCTGATCCAGAAAATTCAGCACCCTTTTATCTGCCTCCTGTTCGCCATGTATGCAGAAACAGTGCAGCGGCAGTCGAGGCAGAGAGCATTTTGTGACTTGCAGTCAGAGGTTGACCATAACAAACGCGCTGTATCAGTGTGTAGATTGCGCTGGGCTCTCAGTAAGGGGAGACCCAATAGATTTTGCATTGGCAAGAATTCGCCTAGACTAGATCCACTAAGCTGTAGTATATACTTAAAGCGCTTTTATTCGTAGAGAGAAACAACATTGCAAGCACCAGCAGTGCTGGCGCTGGACCCCAGGTAACAGTACACAGTATTCAAAGTAAAAGAAGTTTGTGGACAGCGTGCCAAGTAGCAGTGCCGCTGGTCTGAAGTATACTGGCCATGACCTCCGTTCTTCGCCTGCTTGAATACCCTGCTAGAGAAACGCATGTTAGGAGTGTTTCTTGAATGGCTAAGGAACAGAACTACTTTCGCCAGGGTCGGAAAGCTAGATGTTTTTGGCAAATCGCCTCCCTAGAACTTTTTGGCAATGCATAAAAGTCAATTAAGGCATTGCAGTTTAGATACAGTGACGGTAACGTGACAGCCAGAAGGGTCCCTGCTGGCACAGGTTACTGATGCCAGGCAAAGAGGCTACTGCCCTAGAAATTTATGTGCAGTCTTTGTTTCCGAATGTCCTGATCAACTGATCCTGTATTTCTCCTTCTGACCGGCACTTCCCAATATGGATTACACTGTTGTTGAGATAAGTGCAATCCTGGGACGGTCCAATGCGACAGTGCCGAAGTCACGCCGTTTGAGAGTTCTTGCATTGTATTTTGCTGGAAACTTCACAGTCTATAAAACGTATATCAGAGGCCTTACTCAAGGGATGCGCGGCTGTGGCGAGCTCACATTATGTCCCTTGCGGGATTTGTTGGTGCCGCAGTTCTTTCGCTCAGGCCTAGCTAGCTCATTCATACAGTTCACTTTATGTGGAACTCATCTTGCTCAAATTGCACTTGGTTTAGAGCACTAGGAGCTGTACATGTTGTAAAATCTAGGAAACAACTCAGTAGGGCTATCGGCCTAAGCTCAGAAAAGGTTTCTTTCGCCTGTCTATATATCTACCAATTTCAGTGCATTGACTGATTCGTTTAGCGTACCACGCTTGCTCTGTTGACACTTCGCCAACATATGAATGCCAGGTATTGTTTAGCTGCAACCGTTGAGCCTGCCGTGCAGAGGTAGTTCTTGAGCAAAACTTGGGCTACTGGCGCAGAGGCATAATAAAACAGACCTTGCTGAAACAACACGGTGACGACCTTCTCGCGCACACATGTTGTGCCGTGAACTGCTATGGAAAAAACGAGCGAATTTTTGCGAAGTTTGCAGAGCTACTCGTCAGATTCAACAAAGGCTTGCGCCAGTGGTAAATGTAAGGGCAAAGAACATTTGGATCCGATGGTTTCAGCAAATGGCAAAGAAACATATATATTGTTAGAGACTGCACTTGGTGGGTATGCTGATGCGATACTCGCAGGAAAAACTGATGAAGGGCCCACGCCTTCTAGATATGTTCGTGTGAACTCGCCGGCAGGTTTCTTTCTACACTTGGCGAGGCCACGCCTGTCCCTTTAGGCCGCCTGCGGCTCTGAGGTTGCTGCTGTTGCTGCCACCATGGTGGAAGAGCCTCAAACGTTAAGTCAGGTGCTTTCAGCCGCCGAGCAATATATTTTGGCGTGATGATGTTATTATATATATCTCGCTGTTGCTGCGTGAGCGCCTCGAGCCAGAGTCGCCTAAGCGCTCCAAGGTACTGAGGAAGGGTAGGCGGACATACTTGATCTCGACACAGAGACAAGACAGACCACATCTCCAGGCAAAACAAATCGAACCCTGCAGCGCCAGCATCGAAAGTTGAAAAACGGTTGATACAAGCCCTTCCGATTCTTGCGGTGGTGGAAATAATCAGGATATCAACGAAACGGAACGCTGGAGAGCATGAACACTGAAATGGTTTTGAGCGGTTCCGAAGAAATACATGAGCTTGCGTCGAAGCTGCAATGTTACATCATAGTTGTCAACAAATGGGAATGGCAGAGCACGCAAGACTGCGATTTGACGATAGAAGACGTTGCTCTTCCACGATATTTAATTACCTGTCATCTGTGGTCCTACGTGTGGCAGAAGAGCCGATGCCGTTTCCTCCTCCCGAGGTTGCTGTGCAACTCCACGGCAGAGGCTAGCTTTAGCCGAGCACAATCGTATGTCTCCGTCTCGAGGCATTGAGGGAGCTGCTACAGTTAGCTCCCTGCCTCCAGCCGTAGACCCGGCAGGAAGTTGAAGGTGAATCGGACCCTCGCTGCTGCCTCCTCTCCCCGTTGCAGGTCCGTCCCTGACCTCTGCCTGATTCCCTCCTCTGCGGGGCCCCAAAAAGGAAATATTTAATCTTATGCCTGCAGGCTCGGGCGCCTCCAGAGTTTCTAGATTTTGTTCGTGGCGACGGCTGCGTTGTTGCTGTTGCTGTCGCTGGTGGTGCTGCTGCTGTCGTTCAAAAGGAACGGCAGGGTCGCACACATAAGTGTAAGAAAGCCGTTCTCTCCAGAGCTCTGCACATACAGGAATGACAGCGGCCAAACTAATGTTCTATATTGCAGGCCAGCAAATAAAATGTGACGAGGCATCAACCACTGAAATCCAACAAGGTCACAGAAGTGCTTCCAAGGAGCACGAAACGAGCTTACCCGTTTTCTCCTGGGCACTATCTGCTGCGGCATTGAAAACCCCTGCAGAAGCACCGACATAACTGACACATTCGAAACCGGTAATCGCTGCAGCTGCCGCATCAATGACAGCGGCACAGTTTGCTAAAGGCGAGTTGCAGCGAGCAAAGGAAGCTAAAAGATCGGAATCATTCATAGGGCGTTCATAAGCTGTTGAATGGGAGCGAAAAGCCGCAGGAAGTGGGTCACGTGATCTAGCGGCTGAGTAAGTTCCCACTCACCATCGACATGTAAGACATGCAGCCCCTTCTCATGTTCTTTGTAGAATATGAACAAGGGGTGGTGGCAGAGGCAAATCCGAAACGTGGCAAGACATTCAAAGTCAAGGTCAACGTACGCGTACTTGAAGAAAACACCGTGAGACCAGCTAGTGCGGGGGGAAGGAGAATACTGTAGCAGTTTCAACAAGGAGAGCCCGTCGTCGTCTTCGTGCCGCTTCTGCATCCCGCATTGCGAGGATTGTACCTGTTCATCACGTTGCGCTGCTGCCGGGGCTTCTGTAATTGTATGTCTGGAACTTTCATTGACGGAAAAAGCAAGCAAGGGGGACTGAGCAGTTGAGAGTGTCTCGGGCGCCTTATTGCTGTAGCTGCCACTGGGGGCTGTGGGGGTGTTGCTGTCAAGTTCCGCCAGTGTGGGACCAAGACTGTCCACTGCCATGTCCAGCAGAAAGGACGTAACGCCCCTCAGAACTTGCAGCTCTGCGCGCTTGAGCCTGTACTCTGTTTCGCGAAATTCCTTGGGGAGCGACTCTGAATTCTCGGTTGTCCCGTTTTGGGTCTGCATGAGGGCCCCTGTCGCGGGAAACAGAACTTCCAGGCGTGGGCATACCAAATCGCCCAAGAGCGGAAGGTGCTCGCGAGCAAACTCGGCAACATGCCTTCTGAGGGTTTCAGTGCTCAGTTTTGTTGCACCTTTTAATCCTGCACCTGGTGTCTCAACCAACCGCCGCCTCTTTGGACGGGGCTTTACGCCTGGCACTGCCGCTGGTGTCCTCTCTGCTTTCGGAACCTCTCTGTCTTCAGCGTCGCTTGGTGACGGCCTCCTCCGTCTTGACGGGATTCCTTCTGCATCTCCTTGCTCAAGTTCGATTGCCTCTCTGTCACTTTGGCGGGCGTCAGTTTGACAGCTCTGAAGGGAAGGGGCATTGGACTCTAGTTGCTCAGCTTGTGCAAAACCCTGTGCGTCTGTCATGTACCCTGTTCTGGGCCTGTCGGCAGTCTCCAGAGAAAATTCTGTCGGTGGTTGAGCAGCGTCGCTAGGGCTCCCTCGAGATCCTGCCAGTCCACGCAGGGTAGAGGGTATTGCACGCCACAGCCAGGACCCAGCCTGCGCTCACCGCACCAATGTTGCATGCAAGATGCAGTATTTGGCGCAGGCGTCTGGCGCTAAAGCGGTAGGCTATGCCATTGAAACCTACTTGCTGAACCCTCTGGCGACAGGAGCTCGCGGCTGTCTTGCTGGGCTTGTTTGAGCATTGGCCCTCCTCATGGAGGAGCATTCGGCTAAGATCCAAAGTCACGTCACTGCAAGCGGCCAATGATTGCCTTAGGTGCTCTGCAGACTCTTCTTCCGTCGCCCGGGACGATGTAGCTGTATTGCCATGATTTTCTTCTCCTGAATTCTGATGCAGACAAGGTAAGCGAGATTTCCGTGCATATGAGCTGCTACGCAAGGGCACTGACGTTGTAACATAGAGTCGCCACCTCTCTGCTGCTGCTGTTCTATGGTCCTGCTTAGGCTTTCACCAGCAAACACTTTGCTGGCTGTGTAGGCCTTTTAGTCAACAATTAAGACAGGGCTGGGAGGCAGTTGGAAACGCTCCTGTTACATCTGCTGCCCTTCACCTTTTGCAATCCTTCAAAGGCTTGCTCCCCTTCCACCCCCTCGGCCTGCACAGCTGCAGTAAGAACGGCGATGCAAGAAAGAACCTTAAGTAATGAATTCACAGGTGGGTATCATGCGATTACCCATGAAACTTCATTATTTGCAGCCTCAAGTATTATTTAAGCCACTGAAACCACAAAATGAAGAATAAGGCAAAGATCTAAAAAGCTTCAGCTTACTTAGGGTTTCAGCTGCTATCATATCCAAGCAAAGTGGATCTCTCTGGCGCTTTATTTCATTAGCAATGGCCCTATTCCTTTTGTTGTTGCCAAGCATCAGCAGCTGCTGCTGCAGCTGCTGCTGCCGCGCGTATTCTATCTCAGAGACACTGCATGCTCCGCAATTAAGAAGGGCGTATAGTTGAAGATGTATTTGGCCTAGTCCGTAATTATTGAGTCCTGCACTTCGTCGTAGGGTTGCCTCTTCCAAAGGAGCTACCAGTGGCTCACACCACAAGCAGCAGCTGCTGCTAATGGAGACGCTTTTGGAGTGGTTTATATGTATGTAGGCCTCTGGATGAATTTGTGCGGGGCCATTGAAATTAAGCTTTTGTAGAGACCGTAGCTTCCTACTGCTGAAGAGGAACAAAAGCTGCAGCAATTCTGGTGTAATGGTCCATCCAAGAGAGAGACGGCGCAGGCTGCAAACACACAGAAATTCTGGACACTGCACCGGGACAAGTAGGCATTGTGAGCTTAACTGGCTCTGCGACCTCTGGCTGCAGTGAAAGATGTGTTCTGTTCTAGAGGAATTTTTACATGTCATCCCTATGCATGATGCTTCCCAAAAGCACAACTCCTTACCACTTAAAGTTCAGTTGCTCATGTAGTACTGAAAAGTGCCGAACTTCTCCGTCCACGTCTAGCAGTTGCAGGCTTTCTGCCCCGACTTCAAGTAGATGCTGAACGGCCCGAACTAACCGTTCCTGTGTCACCTTCTCTTGTTCCTGGTCTTGCTGCTGCGTGCCAGCGCTGAGTGGAGGCCTTACTTCACGGGAAACCTGGGCATTTTGAAGCGAATCTGTGCCTACTGGCTGCTGCTGAGTTTGATGCTGCAGATGCGTGAAAGATGCAACAGAAGTAGTGTCAGTGCGTGGCCCATTCGCAACATTGGTAGCAGTTCTGTAGAGGAGAGGATTTCCAGCTACTGCAGACAGCTCGGTCAGGAGTATGGCCCTCCTTCTCAAAAATGCTACAGCTTGGCCAGCGAGGGGCAGAGGTCCCCCACTTGCTGCAGCACTCAAAAAAGCAGCAGAGCTGTGCGTAGCAGTAGGCCTACATACTTGGAGTAAAGAAGCCATGACGCCTTAACTGCTTGCCCAACTGGGATGTACGTGATGGGTATGTCTTTGACAGTGCAAGGTAGAGAGCTGCGTACTCCCACATAAAAGTCGTGAACGCTCATTTGAGACCGGCTCCTTGCGACGAATGATGCAAAGTCGACCGTTTTTGTGTAGGGCAGCTAAGCAGCTGTCACCTAACATACAGTACGCCACTACTCTTGACTCTCCAGATATTGAACCTGCAGTTCGCCTTACTGCTGCTGAATCATCCTCTGCAGCAGCTTCCGTACAGAGAGCTGGAGCTGCTTCCCCCAGCTGGCCCTTCAACGGTTCGAACACGATTTCATCAACTTCCCACACTGCAGCACTGGCGAGGGGTGGAACCGCGAAAGAGTGGTCATCAGCTGCGGAAAAGCCCTCAACATCGCTATGCTCAGCCTGCAGCTTTCTAGAGCAACAAGGGCATGAATGTCCTTGCATAGTTTTGGGTTCTCGCCAAAGTATTCCTGTCTTCATGAGCATTAATCTGTGTGCAGAGTGGATCGAGAGCGTTGAGAAGCCCAACGAAATGGATAGGCCAGAGGTAACCTGTGCAAAAACTGCTCGCAAGTTATGTGCAGCGTATAATCACCTACAATGGGGAGGCAGCAGGAAGAGCTCGTAGCCCGCAAAATCGCAGCTTCGGGCTAGAAATGTTCCTGTTGATTGTTTTAATTTATACGCAGATGAATGCGGCGGGCTCCGAGTGAAACACTGCTGTGCGGACAAGCAGGGACCTGCAAAATCCTGCCCGCAGACGTACTTGGAAAGGAAAGTCTATGTAGAGAGACTTAAGAAGCGGGAGAGAAGGCGGAAGCAGTATCGCTGGCACGTGTCGCCAGGCAGGCTGCACAGTCGCATTTGATAGTTCATCAGCTCGTCAGTCAGAGCTCACAGCTAAGCTCCTCAAGTACCAGAAAAGTTAGTCCTCGGCTTTTGAGGAACCACCTCAAGACTTAAGTTCTATCTGCGGTTGTGAGACTCCTGGACATGAAGCAACCAAAGAACATATTAAGCATTTAAAACCGCACAATGCATTGGCCCAGAAAAGTCCTTAATTATAGCAGCGCGATACTGCTGTGGATCGAGCAGAGCTCGAACGTAGTACTGCATATTCACACGTACTGATGAGGGCGGCAGATCGACTGCGATTTTTATAGAAACAAGAGAACTGGCGTTCCTGTGCAACAGCATCTGTAGCAGGAGTAACAGCTCTGTCGCAGCTTGAATTTCTCCGGGATTTCCCGTAGGTGAGAGCTTGAGTATGGCGGAAACAGACTTCAAGTGGCGAAGAGCACTGATGAAGGGAGAAGCATGAATTGCTGTGTGAGTTGTCCAGGGAAAGGGCAACGATTCTGGTGAAGATTCAGTTTTCTGCATGTCTCCAGCAGCCACTGCTGCGTCACAGAGGGGTGCTTGCAGGCGTATCAAGTCCAGTGCCCTTCCCTGTACTAGTCCGTACGCCCAAGATAGACGAGACAGGGAGGGGTCCTCGAGAGCAACTTCAGTGGAGTATTCTCTTTGATTGCCTCTTCTTCCTTCTTGCTGCGTTGCTTCGTGCTGCTGGCTGCTAGCAGAAGTCCGTTGCTGCGGTTGCTGCTGCCTTCTTTCTCCTCGTGTTCCTCTTGGAGTATGTGCTTGGTCACTCAGATTGTTGCCACTTATGGTTCCTTGGTCATACACGGTATCTGTGGGTCGCAGCACATTCCCTGCAGCAGCAGCAGCGGTAGCTGATGCTGCTGCAGCGGCGGCCCCTAGAAAGAGTGGAGAAGAGATTGCAGCAGTAAGCTCTATTTCCAGGGTCTTCAGGCCTAACAAAAAAGGAAGCAGCCTTTTTAGGATGGCTGGCGGCTGCGCAAGGAGGGAAGAAACGTGTCTTGCTGAAAGAGACGTGATGCAGCAGTATGAGGAAAGGACGCGACGGGCCTCCCAGCAGGTGGAGCCAAACGCTGTTACAGATCCAGGTGAGAGCAACTGAAGCACCTTAGCCAGAAGCAGAGGAGACAACTCAAGAATGTGGGCTGCGTGGAGGGGTTTAGAAGGACCGCCACAGAAAGGCATACACCCACAACCGAACCGCGCCTCTAGCGCCGCAGTCGCAGATTCACTGGTAGGTTTAGAGGACTCGTGAGCATCCCCCGAAAGGCATGCGCGACCTGGTGGCTCTCTCCTAATGCAGCAGTCCCTTCTCTTCCTACCCCTACGACTCCGGGCTGAAATCCCTCGGGAAGCCCGTTGACATTGCGCTTTTCTGCGCCCTTCCAGATGGCTTGCAGGGACATCTGTGGGAGCTTCTGGGCTCGCCCCGTCGGTGGGGCCAGGAGGGTGCGCAGGGGCTGTGTCGCAATTTGCGTCACAGGGCTGCTGCGGGTGCTGAGCAGCGAGACTTCTGTGCTCAACGGGCTCTGATACGACAAGACCTGGAGTCCCAACGGAGCTGTCTGGAGGATATATAATTATCTCTGGCACAGATGTTGTTGGATTGACTGAGTCACTTCTGCCGTCCCTGCCTGCAGCGGGGTCTAGACTCGGGTGACCCTCCCTCTGGAGCTGCAGCGGTTGTTGGCGCTGCTGAAGCTCCTGGCAGACTCCTTCACACGGTGATACCATAGGGTACCTACGGGAAGACCGTGTAGGGAAAACATGAGTGCCTGTCTCTTGCGTTCGCAGATTGGGCTCTTGCGGGGCAGTAGCTTTGACTACGCGGTTTACTATATGCCTTGTTCTTGAGGATGTTGACGGAGTAGCTCCAGAGAGCTCAGGAGAGCTACTCCAGTCCGATTTTAGATTGGTGCTCTGCCTCCGTGGAGAAGGTGTGCGGGTTGAGGGTCCGAAGAGGGCCAATGCCTCTGCATTGAGCTGACACTGGTCAGAGTGGGCTCCAGGGGTTTCCCCATGTGGAGGGATAACCTCGCTGGGAGCCTCCATAGAATTTCGTCGAGGGGTCTCTAAGTGCTGAGACAGTTCGAATTCGTGGCGCTCTGGTGGCTGCTGTAGATTCTGCTGCTCGCGCTCCTGCTGCTGGTGCCTTTGTGGGTCCCGCATTTTTTGCTGCTTCTGATGCACTGCTTTGAACGTCAGTAGTTTCTACGTTCCAGCTGCCGTAAGTATTGGCTTGCTGCTGTTGCATATGCAACAAATTTGTCATGTGCCGTACCATGGGAGTAACTCGAAAAGCATTGCAACCTCATGGAGCCTCTGATTTTAGCCACCCTCCTCTTTCTCTACCGTAGCTCTTTCTTCACCCCATATGAGGCTCCTATATGCTACCCTGTATACCTGAATTAATGGGGTTGGGAGGTCTGTCTCTGCTGTTATAGACGCTGGGCTGAGCCTGCCTAGAAATTGTGCCAACAAAGAGCAGCCAAAAGCCTGGGCACGTATTGCTGCTGGGACATTTAAGTTGTGTGGCAGAGAGGCTGACTCTGGAAACAATACGGACAATCAAGAAACCAATTAGTCTGCTTCTGTTCTATCCGCGACGCGCTGTTGTACTTTGGCAGCTGGGCAATGGAGGGGAACCTGTAGCGTTGCACTTGACCTGCTCGATCTATGTGGGCCTGACTGTACAAATGTGAAAAAATAATAGCTGAAACACTGATTTAATAGCATAAAAAACCCCACCAAGTTAGCTGAACATCCCATGGTGAGGCTTGCTGACTCATTTCAGAGGTCTTGCCCGCCCGCCTCTCCCGTTGCAGCAAAGGCAAGCATACTGCGTGGGTTTTTTTGATGGGCAGGGGGACCCCAAATGCCTACAGATAGAACGGTGTAACTTAAAGGTCTATGGTACTACGCTTTGAAGCTGCACATAAACTATGCTTTTAGAGGTGACCCTGGCACCCTTGAGCCATGCGCGAGGCATTGGGGCCCATCAACGGCCTTTTCTTCGAAACAAATAAATAAATTTGCAAGAAATCAATAAGCGGCGCCAACAGTGTTTAATATGTGTGTGATGTTGGTGACGGAATTCGTATTTGTGGGTTTTTTGTTTTTTCCTGCGACTGTGGTGTCCTTCGCTGTACACATACGACGCCTTCTGGCTTCTTGGCTACTTGCCCGCGCTGTGTTGACAGCGCAGCTACAGTCCTTTCGAAAAGGTCTTCGCGAAGCTTCGGCACAGTCCTGTTCACGCTAGCAGGGTGTCCAACTACGGACGATACAGTGCCTCATGCCAGGCGGGTCTGCATGCAGTGGCAGGTTAACGAAGCGAGCTGTTAAAGACTGCGCAGTTATAAGCGAACACTGCGGCTTAGTGCAGTGAGGCCATCTAGCGAAATTTACTGGCCGAAGAGTTGAGTTTGAACTCAGCGGTGTCATCTGGTTCGCGTGGCTGCCGCCACCTGCGTTCCAATTTCTCTATCTGTGTGTTCAACGGGACTGTAAAACGTCCGGATCCCCACAAAACAGCCTAACCTGTAAAACTCTTCAAGCGTAAAGAGTTTCCCTGGTTTGTTAGCTCATCCATATGGTACCACTGTCTCCACTTGGCCCACATAGGCAAGGAGTCCGTGTTCTCGTGTTTGTTTGCAGGTCTGTGCAGCAACATAAGTTGTGGCCAATCAAATACATAGACACGAAGTGCTAGTTACTTTTCAGGGAACGCATAGCGGCAAACGTTGTTGCGCCGTAGGCTGAATCAAGGATTTCCCGAATTTTTTGCCAAACAGCAACATGAACTTTAAGAGGCACCTCGATTTTCGGAAAACTGAGAGACCGATGTTGACCAGCCTCTACACCCGTATCTGACTGGCCTAGCACTGCAATGCAGGAAATCACTGTTTTATTGAGGTAATGACAGATTCGACGGAAGGTGTCCACCTCGCTTTGAGAAGCTGCTATGATTCCTCAAATGCGCAATTTTCTAGAGAACGCATGCAAAGTGGTACACCCTAATTGAAAATATTTTCTTGTTACGTATCTTCAGCAGATGCTTAGTTGTTTTTTCCCGCTGAAGTGACGGTTCCCCCGAGAGCGCTGCCTTGGAAATCTTTTCTGATAAAATACGCCATGAGCAACCAGTTAGTCTTGGAAATTGAGAGGTTCAAAAGGACCTCAAATACCATTAAAAAGGGCTTGAATTCAAATAGCCCGCTTGGGGGCTATACACAGCGTTGGTTCCCCAGCTTCAGCTGTAGGGTTGCCAGGTCTTCATAAGAATAAGGAACTAACTGGAAGCTCTGCCCCTGGACCCCACGTACTGCCTTCCCATTGAAGCACTTGGAATAAAGCCTTTTGAGCTCGACCAATGGGAGTGGCTTTTCACTTTTTGATGATTTTATGCCATCGTTGTTGCCCTTGCAGTCCAGACACTGCATTGTTAGTAGGTTCCGCAACCAGCGGTTTTATGCCGCTGCCGCGGCATAAAACCGCTGGTGACGCATAAAGAGCCCCTTAGATAAGGTGCGTGAACCTTACTTAGTCCAATTTTCTCAAATTCTGGCACACCAAGCTGCTCATGCGGTGGCCGCAGGTAGGATATCTCATAACATTACCGAGCTCATGTTCCCAGAAAAGCTGTCAATTCTTGTAGAGATGCCTCATTTATAAGCCTCTTGAAGATATGTGCCGAAACCGTGAACTGAAAAATGTAGTATCTACGTATGCAACCTCATGTCAGAATAGTTTCTTCTGGGATGCATATTCCACTATTCTACCACCTAATTATGTTACAGATTCATACTGGTGCGCCTGACAAACTGTCTGTCCTTTCCTTCCGCCATGCAGTCGTTGCAGACAACGAAATCTCATATTCATCTCAGTGCAGTTGAATCACATGCTTAAATGGGTTCCTTGTGGCTTTGGTATGGCTGCTCCAAGAACAATGCCGCTGGACCCGCTCCGCGCTGTTCTCGCTACAAGATTTTGCTGCTTGTTAAGAAATGGGAGCAACTGCCTTCAATGCAGTGATGAGGCACTTCCAGCTCAAGTAATGATTGCGACACTGTGGAAAAGATACTTCTTTAGCTCTGTTAATCTCTTGAAGCCATCCACAGCCTTCCAGTTAAGGTGACTGCTGCGCGAGGTAGAATGCCCCGTTTCGGAGCGGCACTTACTGCCAAAATATTCCATCAAGCGATACGATTGGAGCACTATGGAGCTTACATCTAGGAGTCTAGGTGAGTTCTCCTCGTCATCTGGCAAATTAGTAACTGTCCACAGATGGAGGTGAACTCTTTGGCGCTGCACTGTAATAACAACGAGCTGACAGCTCCTCCCCAATCAACCGACTTGATTTTTTAAAAAAAATATTACTTCTATTGAAGAATAAAGTTTTATTTCAACATTGGTGGGGATCAACTATTACTGGAAGGCGACGTATGCTTTGCGTGGCTGGGCTCGAACCGTTACAAGCAAGTCATGGGGCCCTGTTTAATCACAGCACGGAAGCCTAGCCTTTCCCTGCTGAGAATTTTGTGATAAGCCCGATACAACACGCGAAAATAGAGCGTTATACCAGGGATTCCCGTACTTCCGACAAGGTCTGTGAAAGCGCATCTGCCCCCATCAGACGAGCCCACTGCCGAACTGGATGCGATCAAAAGTGAACCAACGCACAGCACACCAAAAAACCACAATACTCTGCACGCGTTTTTGCCATGCAAACATACAGTTCTGAATAGCAGTATATCTGAGGCCTTTGACTCTGCAGAGACTCTCCCTAATCATTGATTTCGTGGGGTCACCGTGCAGTTTCGCTGAATCAACGTTTGATCCTTCACACTTGATCAACGCCGTAGTCCATGCATCCAGGTAAAAAATGGAAAATGTATGCATATGGAGCTGCTCAATAATGCTCCCGCATCTTCATGCTAGATTGAGGGGATGCCCAGGGTGGCACACAAGTCTGATTCAGAGTGCGGCCTGTGCCATGTGGCTTTAAGGAATTCAACAGGACGAAATGCGCACTAGTGCTTTTTTTGACACAGCAGATATTCGGAAGGCGAGAACTCAGCAGTCCTGAGAAAGCTCCAGTAGTTAACCACGGGGAGAAATTCTTGGCAGTGTAGGCCTTGCTCTAGTTGGTGTGCAGTCCCATGGATATCTCTGTGTAGGCTCAGGACACAGCTGTAGCAAAAAAGCCTCCTAAACTCTTGTGAGTGTCTTCTGCGAAGTGTTGGGGGGCATGATCCCCCTCATCGCTCTCCTTGTCCCCCCGTCTAAACCATTCCCGACTTTCTGAGATGACGTTAAATGGACCTCATCTCCAATAAACCAGGCCACAGACTGGAAACTACATGGCTTGGAAAAGATGCAGGATTTTGCTTCTGACACAGCGCCAGAAGATCAGGGGGATCAGGGGGCCGCGACAACCCACTGTAGCTCATTTGGTGAGAGTGCACAAACCGCCTGTGCAGCAGTTCCAGCAGCTGGCTGCTGCGCTGTTATTCAATTGCATGCATTATCATGTAAGCACCACGGAAAAACTCCTAGGTGATGATACGAATTCATGTTTTAGGAACACTTCAAGGTTCTGGCATAAATGAGGAGTTTCTGCGTCACCTTGAGGATGGAACCTGTGATCACCAACCAGCGGGTCACGACTCCACACTTCCCCCCGGAGGGACAGAGGTATACGCATGCAGTGATAACCTGAAAAAAACATAGTAGTATCCTGAGAAAAACATATTTCGAAGGCACGGAGCTTATTCACCAGACGAAGCAGTGAACCACGGGCAGTGCCTTTGTGTCGTGGACTGAAACCACGGGCAGTGCCTTTGTGTCGTGGACTGAGCACCTGTTCACTCGATGGTCGCTTATTCGTGCTGTTTGTGATGCATGTGTTTTCCCATAGGGGCCGTGGGAGCCCATTCTAGCTTCTTCAAGGGCAGAGGTAGGAGCTGAGAAGGAGGGAAATTAAATAACTAGGCGAAGCGCAGCTGCCGTAACGTGGACAACAAGTGCATTACAGTCTAGGAAAGCGTGTTTAATGCTCTATTTTAGGCGTCTCGCCCTCCTGACCTGAAACTGCGAACGTGCTCCGCTCGGGATACTTCAGTAGCAAAGAGCAGCCGGAACAGGCCGTGTAGTGCCACAAGCACGCTGCAGCGGCAGCAACTGAGCAGCCCGCAAAAAAGACAACAGGAACGCGTAGCGGCTCGTCGAGAGCGCCAGCAGCAAGTGACTGAGGCCCACAATGAATGGCGGTGGGCTGAACGTATGCAGCGGGCAGCTATGCACCGGCAGCGACGGAATTTGAAGCCCGACTTTAGGACGGTGCTGCAAATACATCCAAGTCGCCGCTTGCCAAGTTTAGATGGGCAGATCTGGCATTCGATCGGGGCATCCTTTTGCCCACATCGCCTCGCAAGCATCTACAATCTCTCTATACGGTACTGGGATGAGGGCTGTGTTCGGCTTGCTGCCAGGACGCTGCAAGGGGCCTTGCAAATCCTGCAGCAGCAGGGACTTTGGGGTGGCTGCGTCGCTCACACATGGGATTCAATGGAAATCTTGCGAGGCTCCAAGCAACTGCGACATGCTGATCCCACGTGTGCTGCTCCCCCACATACAGACCCCAGTAGGCGTAAGCTTGATATTAAGGACAGATACTTACGTTCCAGGGTGTTTTTCTCTCGCCGCATGTTCGTTGCAGCAGGTAAGCTGGCGCTTTATGCACTGGAAGAACCTCTGTATCCTTTTGTGCACACATCGAAGCTTCCAAAAGCATTGAAAATTTTTCCTCCTAGTGTTCAGATTTCAACCTCTCCTGTGAATGCAGAAAGGGAGCTTGAGGAGGTGCGGGGCCACCTAGGTTCCCTCCTCTGCCGCGCCAGCCTGAGGGGTTATGGCTCTGCAGTGTCGAACGAAGCAGTTCGACGGTGCTCGCGAATCAAGTAGGTACATCGACTCATCAGCACATCTGATACAACGCAGGAAGTGATGAATTTCCCCCGAAACGTGCACCTTTGTTAGCTTTTTGAGCAACACTTGTAGAGAAACACTGTAGCTGGTTCTAGCAGCATGAAGCGACGGCAGTATGAGCGTCTGCAGCAGATTTTTACTGTGCTGGTTTCAGAGAGGCATTGGCTCGGGTTGAAGATGACCTGCTACTATTACAAGATCTGCAGGCGAGATACAGCAGCCCACAATCCTCAGAATGGGGAAATGATGTGCAACAGCGGCAGTTACAGCGTTTAGTGCCACTCAACTTGATGCCATGCATGAGCAAGAGAATTAACCTTCAGCACTACAAGAAGGCTGCACACGGAGCTCCTGATGGTGTCGATGATTGCGAGCGATGGGCCCGAACTTTGCACGAGGTGTTGATTAGGCAAATTACAGCCAGAGACTACGCCGCTGATTTTCAGTAGCCTACTGAAAAGTAGAAATACCTGTTGTTGGCTCAGTTCAACAAGTGGTTTGGGGTTCAATGGCTGCTCAACATGGCTTAAGAGCGGGCGGAAGCTGATCCAATCTTTATGTGGTCTGATCGAAAAGTGGTATGCTCATCCTTTTGGCTGACGTCTAGCAACAGTCGTGTCTCAGCGTCAGTTGCAACCGATGAGCCCAAAATACGCCTTTGCCAAGCTTAAACTGCTGTGCAGGTCCACTGCCAGTAAGAAAACTCGCAGAATGAAATGTGCCATGTATGGCTTATGGCTCAGTGGTGGATTCTGCGCAAGTGCTTGCAGCAATCTTGTGGCAGAATCAATTATGGTATCCACTGAGGTGTTGGCGAACAAAATTCCTTTTGCCTTCTTGTGAAAGTCTGGACAGTTTTCTCTACTTAGTCGACACTCTAAAAGTGTCTTTAACTAGTCTTTTTAGAGGACTACAACTTCATGGATATATGCGACTGCTCGCAGTTACGAACACACGCTTGCCTAGACTGCCAAGTGTCAAAATATGCGTCACTTTGAGGACGTAGATAGCGTGAAATGGCAAGAGAGGTTGTAACCGCTTGTACAAAGCTAGCGTCTTGCAAAGGAAAGAGAGAGCAAACAGATGAGAAGACGGCAAGTCGACAACAGCACAATGAAGTGCTGGGAAAGAGAAAAAAAGGCAAGCTTTGGTCCTCTCCAGCCTATGTAAAAAGCGCTTGTGCCAGAGTGCCCCACGAACGGCGGGCTAGAAGACTCCTTAACGCGCTGGCGAAAGGCTTGTTAACCACTATATTAGAAGAATGCTGTTGCCTCATCTTCAAACCTCCAAGAATTCGTCTCGAAGGCGCCGTGCTTCCCTTAGCCTCATCAGAGCCCGAAGAGGCCCCTCAACAATCTGTGCCACAGCCACAAGCTCAACCAGTGAAGCAGGGATCAGCGTTGCCTAGTTCCTAGACATTCCAACCATTTGTTTGGCTTGTCTGTAATCAGAAACACATGGAAGGAGGGCGTGATTCCATTTAAGAAACGATTTGTGCCAGTGATAAAGCAAAAGAAGGACAAATCTGCAAGTGGGCCAGGGCAGCGTGTTACTCTAGGATCCTGTTTTTGTTGTTCTGCTTGACGCTCAATGGCAGGAACGGAAGGCGCCCTTCTCTCAGCAGCATATTTCTGGAAAAAAACACATGAATGATGTTGCAATTGTGTGCTGTCTCATCGATCTTCGCTCTGCCTCACGTTTGGCAGCCAACACAACAGGAGCAAATCTGTCTCTCAGTAGCTAGAGGTTTCCCAACTTGTAAGTGTTCTTGTGATCTATATTTGCGCAGTGGCTGCAACCTATCCCAAACTGAATATGGCTCTGATGATGCATCGGTTGCTATTGCTTGATATTGAGCGTGTCCAGGCGTTCAACTTTGTTTACTTCGGCTTCGAATCAGTCACTTGTCTTTTGGCTTTGTCCCGTGCCTACTCTTCTTCTAGGTATTCGCTTTGAGGCTGTTCTCTTTGACCAGTGGGCTGATTTTACTGTTCAGTATATTTTCAAGACACATGATGTGGACATATCTATGATTCGTACTAGGCTACCTGCAAGCGCGAGACTGTGCGCCGCCTAAAGGCCCGCAGCTCCGCTGCAATTCTCTCCTGAAAAGGCAATTGCAAATGTTCAAAAAGGAGCTAGAGACCGTTGGCAAAATTTCTGCATACTTGCAACTAAAAGGCCGTATATAGAGGGCAGCTGCAGAGAAAGAAGTGGAAAAATCCCGAAAAAAATGTGCGAAATCAAGTTTGCGCTCACGGGAAGAGTGGCAACACATTCAGCGACCCATCCAGCGTAACACGCCAAGAATGCTCGAAAAATCGAATAATGTTGCATTGCTTGGTTGAGCTGAGTTCCCTGGCATCTGTGTGCTTTTCTAAGGGCATGCTACTCCTAACGCGCTATGGGACCTTGCCTTTGCTTCCCTCGACTGCCTGACGCTCTCTTCTGCGCGCGTGCGTATTTTGTTTTTAATTTCTCTCTGCTGTCGTATCAGCTTCTGTTGCAGGGCTCTGCGGTGCTGAGCGCAGTATTTTTTTCTTTCTTCTGCCTGTTGCATCATTTTTTGCTGCAGTATGAGCTGTTCCTGCCTCTGTTCTTCTTGCTTCACTGCGTTTTCCCGTATCATGGGTTGCAGGTACACTGCAGCGCAGTTGAGGTGTACGTACACCTCAGGGCGTGCAGGTTTTTGGTGGCTGGAAAGACCTTTAAAGAAATATATTCTCTTTTAATTAAATTACTTTTGACATTTCACTTTTGCTGCTCCTCCCTTCTGAGTGCTCTCGTCTTTGCGTCTTCACCTGGCACCAACATATTTCCGTCCCACTTCCAAGCACCTCCCGACGCATAGTTGCTGCTCCTACTGCGTAAAACAGATGGTGCAACTGCCGCTTGTTGCCTGGGACGACGCCAGCTGAAAGGGTTTGACGTGCGAGTGCTGGAGCTACGGCGTTGAAGACGCATGAGTAGGCTCCCAACTGCCTGTGGAGCACTACGCCCTCGGGAGATATTTGCATCCTCAGCCTCTTTTTTATCGGGAGATGAATTAAAGGCACTCCTAGGTAGGGGACTTTCTAGAGCCTTGCTGCTGTGGGCCCGCCTTTGGCCAGAGGGCTCCACCGGGTCTCTGCGGGTTGAGGCTACGTCCTTGTGTGTCTGTCTTGGCTCAGGCATAGATTTGCTAATTTCAGTGTCTGTGGAATCCAACAAGCATTGCTGAGTTTGGGGAAAAAGAAGGTTTCCTTCTTCCAGCTGTTCGGTCTCACGTGTAGCAGCGGGTGACCTTGTCGACGAAGGAGAGCACCGAGCAGCAGGGGACCATCCCCGACCCCCCATAGGGCTACTATTTCGACGGACGACAGCCTTATGGCTACCCTTAGATCTATGCTTATGCCGCGAGACTGAAACTAGAGTGTTGGGATTGTGGCAGAGACCTGTGAAGCACGGGCTTGCGGAGCTCTGTAAGGGTAGCAAGGCAGAGAGGGAGGACTGCCACGAGAGACAGGGGACATAGGGCCCCTTGGAACATTCGACAGAATATTGCTGTACTTGGACGCTTTCTTTGCCTTCCTGGGATAGCAGCCGTGCCTTCAGCGAATCATAGCTGTGCATGAGGTGTATGGCCTGTGGAGGTGGGGCCAAGTCTGGCCATGGTCCGAATGCATCCACAGAGCAGTTCATTGCCGTAGACGCATCTAAGGACATGAAACAGTTCTTCCAATGGTGGACGTTCAGTACCAGCGAAGACAGACGCCAAACACGTGAGGAAAAGTAGTGCGGAGGCGAGCAGTAGCTCTAGCGTGGGCGTACGTGTTCCTCGACGCCCCAAACTAGGATAAACAAAGAATAATGAGCCCACTAAACGTTTTACATTGAATCTGATATCTATATTCGGGAAAGCCACATTTGTCTTGGTTAGTTGCCCGTGATTGTTGACCAGGGTCACCGGGGAGTCACCCACTTCAGCCCAGCCCTCATCACCATTTGTACACTCTAGACCCTTATTTCGCTAGAAAAAGTAAGGCATATTTTCCCGCACAGATTCGTGATTTCAAGAGCAAAACCGGGGGGAGAAGCTCCCAAAATAGTCGGCTTGTTAGTGCGGCCAGATATGGGGATATCTCCTCAGCTGCTCCGAGCAAAAATGCCCGTTCGCTCCTGATCTTTCGTAAAAAACAACAAATTGCTTTGCTGCCAGCAAAGAACTAGGCGCTGCGGGCAGAGGAGCCAAGCAGCAGTAGAGGCGACAGAGAGCCACTTGTGGTCTCTCTGTTGCTTCATAGTGTCTCCTCCTACGTGGGACTTCAAACTTTAGTCTCGAGGCGTTTTGAACCCTACGAAATCAAAGATTGACTGATCCCAATACTGTAAATTCGTCTTCAGCACTCGACAGGAAGCTTGAAAGCAGCTTCGATACTTCTGCACCAATCAACCTGAACTGAGAACCCCAAAGCACAGAAGCAAATGCACTGAAGGTATTGCCAAAATGGAGGCATCTACACTTGAATTCGGTCTCAGATACATAAGCGGAGTTGGAAATACTCTCAACCATTATGAGCTGGCCTCCTTACAAATATCGCTTATGACTCTCCAGAAGAAGGAGGGAAAGGAAAAGGCATTTTTCTGGGGCAGGATACATGGCCAGGACGATGACTACTATATTGCTTACGTTCTCGAAGACAGCGAGTATATTTACCCGAAGAAGAAAATGTTCTATAGGTGTGACACTTGAGGATCTCAGTGTTGCAACCCTTTCAAATATTCTGGACATGCTGCGCGTGGGATCAGGACTGCTACTTTGCAATCGACTCGGCATAGCCTTTCATGAGCTCGATCTTACTTCTAATGTATTCGAAGGCTCAACTAATTTGGACAATTCCACCTGTGTGGTAGTGAGCCGGTGGTTCAGCTCTTTCTTGCTGAAGCGCACAGTTTCTTGTATGCTCGTTGTACCCACAGCACAAGTCGCTTTGAATTCCGGCCTCTTCCTGAAGGTACACTGCGCCTCTCTAAGGAACGTGTAGACCCTATTCTGCTTACGGGAGACCCTGCGCGGGTAGTTGAGGTACCCGGTGAGTGCTGAAATATGCAAAGAGACGAGACATAAGAGAGCAGCAAATGCTTATCAGTGAAACAAACAGTGATGCAAAGAGGCACTGCCGTGATCTTCTGCTGAGGTTGCTTAGATGGTTTGAATACACCTCCAGAAGAGCCCCCAAGCGACGAAGAAGAGGAAGGTGAGCTGAGCGGCAGAATTGCGAAGCAAAACATGGACACTCACATCCACATTTGGCAGAAAGAAGCAGCAGAACTCATGGACATTGATCCAAAGGTAGACAGACATGAGGAAGAAGGGCCTTTAACTGTTTACGTATCCACTGTTTCTTAACAGAGGGAAGCAAGAAAGAGGAAGTAACGGAGGCCGACCTTTTGTCATTTTTAGTGCAGCGCATTGACTTCGCGACAGCAGCGGTGCCGCGGGGAGCTCATCGTATTCATGGCAACAAAATTATTCCTGCCACGGAATTTCAAGGTTTGTGCATCTGCGAGCAATAATGTTAACAGAGGAGTGGCTAGACTAGAGGACTGCTGCTGGAGCTCACTAGCTTTTGCTGGGCGGGTCGTGTTGCTGCCGTGGGCATGGCATAACGTACTAAGGGAAATGGAAACGCTGTTCCCGATCTTAACAAAATGAATGTGGTATCTAGATACAACATTGCAAACCTGAGATGATTTTTCTTTGCATTGCGCAGGGCTTACCTACGAGGAAGCAGAGGATTTGTCCTCCTGGGTCCACTTCAGACCAGCTGAAGATTGTAGGCAGCAGACACGCGGAGCAGTAGTCTCAGCAAAGAAGGAGTGCTGTATAGAGGAAAGAAGCACATGTTTAATCCGACGCATATGATATATATATGCATGTCGTGTAGACGCTTACTCAGAGTCAACTTGATTACAGTGTGGACTTCTATATGTTGCAGTGGAAGCATTGAGAGCGCAGACATCCACAGATTATCAGGTGAATTAATGGCGCTTTCCATCTTTGGGAGATCTTTGTACGCTAGCTACAGCCCGGTGCACAGTTGTGTCACTTTACTAAGAAGTTTGCTGATAAACCAAATACAAGCCTGCAAGTATGCCGGTTCCTGTGGGCCCCTTGCAGTTTAATGTCGACTTCCTCGAGCCCTTAAAATACGACATCCCTAGAGGTCAGTTGACACTATTTCGTGTCATGCATCTGAAGCAAACATAACCTTGGTCTGCGCAGCAGTTGCAAGGCTGGGCTTGCCAGCTCAAGAAGGCTTTTGCAGCTTTCATACTAGTGCCAAGCCTCACCAATAAACATTTCAAAGCAAGCCAACTCCACTGACCTTTGCCTGCAGCTACAGACCTTCACAGACCGTGATCAGTTTCTGTCTTTCCAATACTCACTGCGCACAGCCTCCTCACACAGTGTCCAATGAATAGTTTGTGCTTCGTGCAGGTTCATGGGTGACGCGGTTCGATCCAGTCACGAAATGCGTCACTTTAAGGAGTCTCATGTGGCCAGGCAAGCACTTGCAACAGCTAGAATGGTAGCTATCTCTGAATCTCCAATGACGCAGTAAGGGTCAATAGCACAGACTCAGCTGAACTCACAGCGCCAATTTCTGCCCTCAGGAGCTCTGATATATTTTCAGGGTACGTTGCGTATACGATTCCCAACACCCGCACTTTTGGAGGACTGTACTTTGGGGACGGAGAGGAACTGGTGGACTTGCCGTTCTTGCTGTAGCTGCGTGATTTAGCCTACTCGGTCGTTCCTCTATGGAGTCCTTATCAAATGTAAACGCTTTTCATCCCTCAAAAGAATACTGAATCGATTTCGTATACACGGAAAGCTGATATGAATGCTTAAGTTTTTCTGAGATAGACTAGCAAGTACCAAGGGAGTGGTTGCGCCATCTCAGATTACCCTTGTGGCCTTCTTTAGATTGAAAGCCTCGCTTGCGGCCGAAAATGCGTGACCTTTGTCCTTTTGGATATCAACAGAAAACTGCAATAGCAAGCGTTAAGGTTGATTTTAGAACTCACGCAGTAGTCCCCTCAAACTGCTTTCCCTCTATTCTTTTGGACACCACCAAAGGCTGCAGTTGCGAGCGCAACAGGTTGTTTTGAAATTAATTTAGTACTTCTTATAGTTGTTTAATACTGGCTACATATGACTTTGCCCTATAGTCAGTAAAAGGGACTTTGCCCTGCACTTGCTTCAGAGGGACATCTGTGCGTATTTTGAAACAAAGTATCCCAGTAGCGCGGGGAAACAAACATTAAATATCATGAAGTACTTGGTAGTACTTAATTTTTTACAGTCTAAGAATTCACACAAATTGAGTCCGCGGACATATTCAACGCTTAGTGCAGCGCGCTTCCTATTCGTTTCTCTGTTAACTGCAGTATCGTCTAGTTGCGGCCTGCGGCCTCGGAGACAGTAGAAGAAAGTATTCCCTGTGGTCTCTTTAAAGCGAAATTCGCATGAAATTCACAAATTTCTAGCGGCTCACGGCTGTCTTCTATTTTCACGTATTGTGACAGATCAACCACATTAGAGCACACGCTTATTGTAGGAAACGCAAGGAAAATGCTGAGTCTTCCTTTCCGTAAAGTGAAGCTTGAAATTACTTGCAGTAGACCAGCCCTATCAGGCAGCCCCGTCGACAAGTCCTGTTTCTACTTGCCAGCCTCAGTTGCACGCGAGGCCGCGAGGCCTTTAGGCGCCATTAAAAATTTTCCTTGCCTCAGGTAAAGCGCTCCTACTAATAGCGAACATCAGGATGGCCTTCGTAAACGGTAAACACGTGGTGTTTTCCGTTTATCTCACCCTGTTTTCGGGATGCGGTGCCACTGTAATCCGCAGCGGCACCGCACCCCGAAGGCAGGGTGAGGTGATGCCAGTCAGAGGTTGTGTACAATGATTGGCATACTTCAGCATGTCAAAAGTTGCCTTAAACAGGGCTCACAGCTGCCTTTTCGATGGCAAAGACTGGCGAAATCGACAAAACCGTGCCCAAAATCCCATAGCGCTTGCGTAGTTCAAGCGTGCGCAAAAATTGGCAAAGATGCTGACGGAGAATGCTTACCGTTGTCGTTGGTAAGATGTGGGCGTACTGTTTTCCGTAAACGATGCTCACAGGTTTGCACATGTCGTTATCCGTTTGTGCTTGTAAATACAGGTATTGGAGAATGAAAATTTGCGCGGGATGCGATAGATCTTGAAATGCCAGTGTGGCACACCGGTTCAAAAGCTGCTGGACTATGAGCAGACAAGCTCGTCATCTGAGAAGGGCGAACAAAAGCCGCGACTAGATACACTTAAAACAATTCATTTTCCATATTAAGGCTATATTAAGACTATGCAAAGACACGTTTACTCTTCAAGGAGATAGCTGTTGTTTAATCACGTTGTTAAGACTGCAAACGCGAGTGAGATAATCGAGCAGTGAGAGCATTTGTGCGACTGAGATTTCCACCAGGCCTCAAAAAGACACATGGTGTCTAGTAATACCTGGTGACTGAATCAAAGTGGGCACGGGAACAGACGACGATGTGCTGGTTGTGACCATGCATCGGGCTATGGCTTCAAAGAGAGGAGAATTCGAGCTTGTCATTGCCGTATTTAAATCTGCAACAAAAAAAGCTCTAGTTGGAACTGCTTACCCACAGAATTATGTCCTGTTCTTCCAAGGATATTTGATTGCTTCAACCGTGAACAGATGTGCTTCTGACTGAATAGGTGTACTCTTCTGGATTGAAGAACACTGCATAGTGTTCTTGGGCTCACAGATCTAGCAGCTAGTGTACGTATTACGAGCTAGACTGCGCGCAGCATGAAAGTAATCTTAGAGAATATTTAGCATGGAAAAAACAATGAGATCCTGCAGCCTACTGGCGCTAGCTGTGTCCGCAAGCACGCCATAGCTCAACAGCGCTGAGAATTTCCACAGCCCCTGTTCTCCGTCATTCCCAATAAAGTTTGCGTGTTCGGGAGCTGCAATCGACAACGTCTGGACAACCAGAGCGAAAAAAACAGACCAGATCGACGTTTCAGTATGGAATGCCACAGATCCATAATTATTTGGATCGTGCTAATGGTCAAAAGCGTGTCCACAAGCTGCCAAGGGATAGTCAAGCAGCCGTCTAAAGAGGTTCTGGGCTTGTCTTTGTTCCAGAGATGGCTTTGCTGGACTGTGCTGGTGCCACGCATGGACTTGCCGACAGAGGGAGCCACAAAGTTATCTTACACGCAGACACAGCACAGGTTTTGTCTCCTCGGTGAGCAGTGACAATTGTGTTGCTACTTACTTCCTGCAAAGCAGAAAGCACATCTGATTTGCAGATTTGGAGACGGTTCTCCATGTCCGCTTCGCTTCCTAGGTCCAAGCCAGCAGGCAAGCTGAACGAGTATATTCCTGCATCCACAATTAGAACATTGGAGTTTTCGTTGCATTTCTTCATTCATCTTCAAAATAATTTAATGCCCGTTTGGAGCTAGCCACAAGCCAGGTACGCACAGATGCAACAACATAGCACTGTTACCAACTTGGTCCCTAATTGCATGGAGCCTTCTCACTTGTGTCCCCTGTGCAGCTTTTCTCTTCTTCCAGCGGCGGACAGGCTGAAGTACCAGCTACTTCATCCGGGTTCTGCACGAAACACTCGTGCAATCTAAGTTGACTGCGTTCTAGATGAAAAGCTACTTTGGGGAATGGGAAAGTGAGCATGGCGCAGCACCAGAATATCAGAGCAATTTACGCTTTACGCGCCGTCAGCCTGTGCCAAGCTCAGCTCACTATTTACCTCATTCTTTGGGCATCTTATTCGTGTAATGATTATCATAGGACTAGTGGCAGGAACATTACTAAGCCATGGCCCGTCTCCACTATAAACATGTTGTATCAGCAACTGAGCGGCTAGCAAGTAGCTTACCAAAATAGTTCGTTCTCTCGTAGACTTGAGACCTGAACAATTCTTGTCGCAGACAGTCCACTCCGACCAATTTGACACTTTGCATTCGCACGCTGAGTAGAGGAAAGCGCAGAAGGAAAAGTAAGGAGGGACTTTTTGGCTGCTTTCTTTTGCTTTGTTGGATATTGGCGCTTAATTCAAAACAATACTGCTCTTTATATGCAGATTGGAGGCTGCGTGCAGGTTGTGGGAAGGAATTACTGCTTGGTGCCTCCTCTCCCAGCAAAATGCACATGTCTATCGGCGTGGACAGCGTCTCAGCTGCAACAGCACCAGCAGTAAATCTTCACTCCAAGCACAGAGCCCATGGCTTAGACACTTAACCTTTTAACCTTTAATACAGGAGCACACTGGCAGCTGGAAGCGCAAAGGCAGTACATCTATTTCATTTTCTATGAGAGTGCACAGTATTCAAAGTTGGCACTGCGCTGGATCTTGAACTCACGACTAGCTTTGTAGGCCTGCAGACGAAAGGGCGAGTCAGCCTCCAGACCAGGCAGGACACCGTCTAAGGTGGCGTAAATTGGCAATGATGGGTTCTTCACTTTTTCAGCGAGCACTGCAAACACAGCCACACATAAGCAGAAGAGCAGCTGCTGCACTCAAGCGCTGAAGCGTCCCCAGAGGGGGCTCGGCAGTAGCTGTTTGCAATAAGCACAGCAGTTGGAACGCCTATAAGCTAGCGACTAAGGAATGTTCAAAAAGAATAGCAACTACTATGCTTTGCGTTGTGCTCTACTACGAAGATGCCCCACACTGCAAGGCGCGCTCTGGATCTTGGCCAAGATCTGCGTCTGGATCTTCGCCTGGAAGTGTTGTATCAACTAGAATTATGAACTGCACACGCCAGTATTTCTTGCCAGTTGCTGTGTCTGTGCCTAAAGCAGAGAATGTCACTCGCCGCTCACTTAGACCCAACGCCTGCAGCGCAAACCATAGAGGACGCAAAGATGAGATCCATTTTCTTTTTGCTGTATCACATTCTCACAAGGGGCTTTCGCTACCCCGTACAATACTTTGTGCAGAGACAAAAGGGGGAACTTGTACTAGTTCGGCGCAGCAACAGCAAACTGCGGGAGCTGCTGCACGCCTGCTGTGCTGCTGCTGCAGTATAGCAAGAGGGCGCTGCAGCAGCAGCATAGCAACAGGGCACTCAATGAACAATTTGTCGGCTTTCCTGGCTTATAGCGCTTCTGATTTCGCCGCTCCTCGTGATGAGGGTTTCTTCACTCAGGCTGGTTGTTCGAAGAGAGGCCTCCCGGGTGATTATGAAGATCATACAGGCCCCGCTGCAGGTGCGCGTTTCCTTGGTGTGCGGGCAGCTGAGTACTTCGTTCGGGGCAATCTGCAAATACATGTTTAGCAATGAGAAATTTAGTTCAACGAAGTGAGTTAGCCGGCTGCGTAGTATCGCCAAAGCCCAAGCCTTCCAGCCGTAGCCCCCACTCGAAAAGAAAAGGAAAAAGGTACTGGGGCCGAAGCCCTTGGCTCTGCTTTAGTTTACCAGGATTCGCCGCTCCCGCACTTGTTCACTTTCTCCGCAGGCAGCGGGGCATACAACCCACTCGCTCCATTCGCCTGCTTGACAAGTCTCATCTGGAGGAGCAGGGGCCTCCGGCGGGCTCTTGCCAGTGAGGCTTGCGAATACAGTTAGGCAGATGAAGGCCACCGCTACCAGGAGGGAAAAGGATCCCAACCAAAGCAGCAGCACTACAGCAAAGCAGCAACAGCAGCAGGAGCAGCCCGAAGCCTCAGATTCTTTGTTAAGGGAGAGGCAGCGCTGACGATGAAAAAATTCTCGCAAGTTCCTACGCAGCAGTGCAAAATCTGCAACATCACTAATTTTAATCAGTGATATCGCAGAGTTTGCACTAGTGATATTTCGTGTAGGGTATCGTGTTGCTGGAAATGCCAATGAGATTAATGAGTGCGACTCAAAACTAAGTGTTTCACTGCTGCCATTTTGGCTCCTACTCTTGTCACGCCTTTTGTCCTCAGCAGCTTCGTCTGTGGGAGCCTGCACAGCTTGAGAAGACTCTTCAAATGAATCCCAGGAGGCATCGTTGGTGCCGTCTTGGTTTTCAAGGCTGTGGCTGTTTCTTTCTTGGGGGCCCCTTTCGGGGTCTTCGGGGTCCCCCATAGGAGCCAAGCCCTGGGCAGAGGCCTCGGGGGGACCCCCCAGCCCTTGCCCACTGAGAACTGAACTAGGACGCCTCACGCTGCGCCGGCGGAGCCCGTCAGGAGTTGGCATTGTGACTGCAATATCAAGTGGCCCTTCTGCTGCAGCTCTTGAGCCTAGGCGAACAAGAGAAGACTCTCCAACTCCGTAAGCTTCCCCTCTTGCTCGCTCTTCAGGGCTACCCGAGAGAGCCCCACTGCCCCGCGCTGCTGCTGCTGCTCCCTCCAGCGCATTAGCAGAGCCAAGCTGCCCCAGAGTTTCTTGCTGCTGCTCCTCTTCTACATGTGCTGCACTGCCTTGACTGTTGAGGGGCCCCTCAGTTGCTGCCGGCCCTCCCAACAGTTCCGCTTCTGCTGCTTCTCCAAGGGCCGCCTCTGCAGCAGTTTCTGCATCAGCTGCTGCTGCTAAGTCAGGACCTTCCAAGTTTCTGCTGCCTCGAGAGCCCCCGCTGCCCTCGCGAGGGCTGACAGAATTAGAACCCATCTTCGCTGAGGCCTCCCCTTGTGAGCCCTCTAGGATCTGGCTTCCTGATTCTCCCTGTGCTGCTGCTGCTGCTGCTGCTGCTGCAGCTTCCGGCGACTGCATTCCTTCAGCTTCTTCACTTGGACTTCCCTCTGACACTACCCCGGCCTGAGACCCGTCTACTCTCTGGAGACTCCCTTCAACTGGGACCCCTTCATTTTCTGGCTGTGCTTCTTCTGGCTGTTGTTCGCCTCCCGGAAGCCCCTCTTCGCTTGGGGGCCCCTCCTCCCCTGGGGGCC